GGATCTGTTCCTGAACACCATCCAGTCCGACATACGTCGTCTGCAGCCTCCTGTAATCCTCCTCCGCGGCCTGGAAAAGCACGCGTCCAAAGCCGGACCGACGCAGATCCGCCGCCATGATGAACATAGCTATCTTTATCACCGTCAGCACCCACCTATACCCTCTGTAATATATATAGAAACCCCCTTACCCAGGCAGTCCCATTATCAAAAACAGCAGCCATGACGTGACCCCTCGGCGGCCCGTCTTCGCGCTCGTAAGCGAGAAGGAATCCCCGTGACCGCGTAGAGTCGAGATAGGACTGCAGGTCGTAGATGGATCGGTTCCAGCCGAGTTCTAGCATGTTGCCCCACCAGAACTCCCGCAGGACGGGGTCGACCTGCAGCGCCGAGCGGACTATACATGTCCCTCCTGTGGCGGTTGGGGTCGTGGACTCGTATTTGGTGCCGGAGAGGGACATTGTAGGACCGCACCGATGGGAATAGCAGACACCGATCTATGCTGTGAGGAGAGCGGCAATGCGTTAGGATTATTGAGGAGTAGTTATATAAGAGTGTCAGCGTGCGGCTGGCGGGAGTCATTCAGCCGCGTGTTGGTGGACTCATCACCTGGAACACCAGATTTGAGGAATGCGAAGTCGGAGCCCTTTCGATTGCGGGGCAGATGTTTTCCCCCGCTGACGTCGTCTGGTCGTTTGTTTGTTCTCGCGAATGTATACCTGGATATTTTACGACGAATTTCCATTTACGATCTAAATATCACGACGTCTACTGTCACAGGATACGTTCCTTACCATCATGTGATTCTTGCGCAGGCTGGGCCCGTGAGCTGGGTGGCAGCAACACTCATTCGCCGGCGTATATGTGGCAAGAAGCGTGCTCGAACTAAGCCAGAGGAGAGTAGTTCTCTAGCACATTGAGAACCGGCAAGAGTCCTTACTTCGCAGTCGATTGTCGCGCGATATGTCTTTGGATCTTCATTCCGAGGTGGACCCCATGGCTGGCCACAGTAGCATCGCTTCTACCAAGACAGTGTCTATAGCCAGCACTACCGTCGACAGACATGAAAATAATGATGGATCGGCCGTGGACCACAATTCCTTGAGTCGGAGCGTCTCCAGCGATACGTTCGTTACCGCCGAAGAAATCTCCGACGCATCGAGCGTGTCTTCATACTCTTCCTCGGACCGCATCGACGAAGATGACGATGAGCCGGATGGCACGATATTGGTCGGTGGACCGGAGCGGTACCTGAGCTATGACGACAGCATGAATCTATTCCGCGCATCGTTGGCGCCATTGTCCATGCTAGTACCGGTTGCGATCCCCATGGCCAATGCCGCTCTGGAATTGAGTGAGAGATTATACGCTCCTCTGATAGAGGCTCAGCGTCGCAAGGATCACAAAGTCGAAGTCAAACGGAGACTACAGCCTGCTCGGAGAATTACCGGCGAGGAGGCCTCAAACAACCTAGAAGCTCGGTTCTTGGTCACCGACCCCATCCAGGTGTCAGGACGTATAGCAGACCATACACATCTTCAATCTCAACCTGCGGTATCAGCGCCCGAAGTAGCTTGTGCTATTGGTAACCGTAAAGATGCAGTCTATAAGCCATCCTTGCCCATACTGATACCACAACCCAATGACGACTGGCTGCCTCTTCTTGCCAATGCGAAAGCTTCGAAAGGGTTTGATGCTCTGAAGATTGACCCAGGCGCATTAGAAACATTGTCGCCTGTCGATCTTTCCAGACTTGCTCAGACAATCCGCGCCGAATCGCAGAAGAGGAAACCAAGAATGCCCTGGCAGGGACAGAAGGTTGAGTTTGAGCTTAGATCTAGCGAACGCAGCAAAGCTGTGCGCCTCGAAGGAGACAGGCGCTCAACTGAAGCTAAGGGGGAGGCACTCATCTGCGATGAAACAGTCATCGCTCTGTCTTTGTTAGCCGAGGGGAATTTGCGAGTCTATGCGCGATATGTAGGCGCAAATGCGACTGCTCATGTTCCGGGGTTGAAGCGGCTGGACAAGAAATCATCGTGGATACCGTTCGTCGCAGATCGGCATCGGCGATTATTCACATTGCAGACCTCAAGCTTTATGGTGGCAAGCGCAGTCGTTGCGGCTCAAGCAGAGGTTCTGTCGGGAAATGCGCTGTTCATAGCTGCAGAAGAGGCGATGCGTTGCGGGATAGCACATGCTGCCAGCCTACGATGCTCCGAATTTGATCAAGTTCTACAGCTGTGCGAGGACCTCGCGGACGTCTTGCAATACCTCATAGCCGACATCGTTCAAGATATGCGCATACTCTATCAGGATGAGCCAGAAGCTGTGCAGAGGAAGAAAGTTCTAAATGCTGTCGGACAGGTCGTCGGCATCATTTATAGCGCATTCCGACAGCATTCGGAGATCACTGATCAGGTGACCAGCGATAACATCCGATTGGTGACTGGGCTACTGCAAGTTGTCGTAAGCACAGCACTCGTGGCACCTGGCGCCGTTCTGGCTGTCTTTCCACCTTTGGCTCCCATTGGCGCAGGCTTGACCATTGCAGCGGTACCACTGATAGCCGCCATAGCACCATCGATCAGGAGTTTGGTCGAAGGGGTATTCGCATTGCGCAACAGGAGAGGCGTGTTGGAATTGAGGACCATGGCCATCGGCCAGAAGAATGAATTCATACTCGGCCTCAACCGTAAGGCTACCGATGGATTGGAAGGCGCTTCGGATGTCAGGGAAGGCTTCGATTTGACGACGACGATGCTGGAGGGCTTGAAGTATGGGAAGAAAGGAAAAAGAAACCGTGATTACGCGATGAAATTGGCCGCTCAGGAACAGGCGCAAGCGTGAGATCATAGATGCCTCAGACTCATTTTTTGTTACCCCGCACATCTCTCTTCTTCCTCAAGACGCCGGCAGGGCTAAAAACTGCTCTGATACATGGATTCTACTGCTTGAAATCAAACAATATTCCCACCTATCAAACGAGTCTGCTCAGGTGGACGGCACGACTGATTGAATTATTCGAGAGGGACATAGACGGAACATCGATAAGGAATCGTGTTCTAAGGGAATACGATTTTCCCGTAAACATGTGCCGTAATTATTTGCAAGCTGTTCGAAGTAATGATCGTGTCTCGTGCTTAGCAGAGGAAGTGAAAGGGTGACCGATAGTTCAGTGAGGGGCAGGATTATTTGCCCCGCAATACGGTCACGTGCGCTCCAAACCTGCGTTTTGGAGAACCTTTGCTGCTCACTTTCTTGCCATGCATTCACTCTGAGAAGCTCGACTCGTTTGCAGAAATGGCTGCCGTAGCGGAAGACGTCGGTAAGCTGAGTCTTGAAGGCAAGGCCAATGGTCAGAACGGCACGACCGCGCCGGGAGACGCAAAGACAAACGACAATGCTGGCGCTGAAGATTCGGATCAAGGCGACTCGGAAGAAGACGAACCACAGGCACCCGGGGCCACTGATGGAGCAGCAAAGAAGAAGAAAAAGCGCAAGCCCAGGAAAAAGAAGAAGGCCGGCACTGCTGGAGCAACTAGCCAGACCAACCCACCGAGAGTACCAGTCGCACAGCTCTTTCCTAATAACAACTTCCCGGAGGGCGAGATCTGTGAGTACAAGGACGACAACACATACCGAACGACGAGCGAGGAGAAGAGGCATTTGGATCGCATGAACAATGACTTCCTCACGGAGTACCGTCAGGCGGCAGAAGTACACAGACAGGTCCGCCAATGGGCGAAGAAGAATATCAAACCAGGACAGACCTTGACCGAAATTGCTGAAGGGATTGAGAACGGTGTCCGGTACCTGACTGGTCACCAGGGCTTGGAAGAGGGCGACAATCTCAAGGGAGGTATGGGCTTTCCCTGCGGACTGAGCATAAATCACTGCGCAGCACACTACACGCCCAATGCCGGCAACAAAACTGTTCTGCAACATGGGGATGTGATGAAGGTGGACTTTGGCGCTCACATCAATGGCCGGATTGTCGACAGCGCATTCACCGTACATTTCGACCCGATGTACGACAATTTGATCAATGCTGTCAAGGACGCCACCAATACCGGTATCCGCGAGGCCGGGATTGATGTGCGCATGTCGGACATTGGTGCGGCGATCCAAGAGACTATGGAGTCGTACGAAGTCGAAATTGGTGGGCAGACCTTCCCGGTCAAGGCTATTCGTAACTTGAATGGTCACGACATCCAGCAGCATAGCATTCACGGAACAAAGGCTGTGCCAATCGTGAAAGGCACCGACAACACCAAGATGGAGGAGGGCGAGACCTTCGCTATTGAGACCTTCGGCTCGACCGGTAGAGGCTACGTGCGGGACGATATGGAGACCAGCCACTACTCACGTACGCCGGACGCACCGAATGTTCCGCTGCGCGTTAGCAGCGCCAAGGCGTTGTTGAAGAGCATCGACAAGAATTTTGGCACGCTGCCATTCTGCAGGCGGTATCTGGACCGTCTAGGTCATGAAAAGTATCTACTTGGGGTGAGTGCACTTGATATGCCCCTACAAGGACGTTGTGCTTATTGTAATCCACAGCTTAACAATCTTGTCCAAGCCGGGATCGTTCAGGATTATCCGCCGCTGTGCGACGTCAAGGGCTCGTACACTGCACAATTCGAACACGTGAGTAGTCGGCATCGAGAACAAGAAGACCAGCGACTGACTTCTACAGACTATCCTGTTGCGCCCCAATGTGAAGGAGGTCATCAGCCGCGGTGATGATTACTAGTCGCGCTGAACGCGAAACGAAAATGGTACATAGTCGAGATAGCTCGTGCAAAATCATGAACCAGGACCAAAGACCTGGCAACTTTTGGTCGCGCCCAAATCCTACCAGGCCAAAAATATCTATCTTGCAAAATACGGTGTATTGACCCGGCCAGCATCAAAGTATAGGGTAAGTCTATAGGTCAAAACAAATTCGGAGCAGGACAAAGGTACATATATCGCATAAGCCATTCCACTAAATTACACTAGGGCGTTTGGCGCAGTGGCTAGCGCGTTCCGTTTGCATCTATGAAACTTCGGAAAGGTCGTGGGTTCGACTCCCACATCGTCCACTTATTGAGATAATTTTTTGCTCCTGCCTTGCATCTCTCTGCATTTCTTACGCTGAATGCGACCGCTAGGTCATGACTTTTTGGGACAATGCGCATCGCGTGACCCGCCCAAGGGCGATTTTGTTCTGCCTCTGTAACTTGGAAATTTGGGCAAAATATTAAATTTCGCGGACTACGCATATGGTCTAGATAGATGCGAACGACTCTGGGCTTCGATTCGTAACGCTACGTGCAATGGTTGCCAGTCATCTTTATGCCCATTCTGTTCACTGCGATATCATAGCGCACCGATGCATCCCATCTCATCTCAATTCCGCTCAGGGGCATTTCCAAAATCATCGTAATCATATTATATCCAAATCGTCATCACTATCATCAGCCACATCTTTCATTGGCGCACCCAGACTCTCCCGTCCAGGCTCTCTGATGCCCTTCTCGAGCGCAAAGCGCGCCTTCTTCGGCGATTCGGACCGTCCCCTGGGCAGAGAATTCGCTCCGTTGGACAAGATGCCGTCGAGCCTGCGCTGACCAGCTTCAGGAGCCGGTGTGGGCTTGGAATTGTCCATCAGTCCGCGCTTGAATGCGCCTGCCCAGCCAATTGGTTCGGCTTGTTCGTATAGAGCTTTTCTGCGGCCGCGGACGGGCGAGAGGCGTACTTGGTCTGCTCGCGCTATGAGGCCGAGACTCGCGGCGTCGAGCTTCATCTCGGGCGCTAATGTCTCGTCGCGTGCAGAAGCGAAGCCCGAGTCGATGCGCTTCCCAGGACTTTGAGTGCGGGCATTGCGATGTGCTTCCTTATCGGCTGCTGCGCGAAAGTACTCTGCTCCTGCGCCTGTCCCGATAGCACCGAGCTTTTTCTGCAGGGCGCGCTCCTTCTCGCTGTCTGCTAGGCGTCGACGCAATCTCTCCGCTGCTTGCAGATCGTCGGCGGCGTCAAGCAGTTTCACCGCACTGGACTCGAATGCATGCCCCATGTAGTACGTTTCTTTTGTATCATAGTCTCGACGCATTGCTGGATGTTGCGTCTTCTCCCCCTTTGCTGGCGGGGCTCGCGATCTTGACTGAATATATCCGGGACGGCGACCATCCGGTGATCCACCGCGGTTCGTTCGTGGTCCGCTGTGAAACAATGTGTTCACCTCCATACGGGCGGATCGAGCCTGGTCGATTTGCAGGCCAACATGGAATGCGCAATGCTGAGTCGAGCGGGTATCAATCCACGTCGTGCACTGTGTTCCATCTTTGCGAATCGATTCGCAGAATCCCAAATCGCGAGAGACCCCCAGTTCCAGAATCTCGTCGCCGTTGCTTGTCGCTTTGAGACTGAATCGCCCAGAATCCTTTTCGTGGGCTCGTGGTGGCATTATTGCCGGATTCAAAATGGCGACGACGGTTCCGACCTTCAATTTCCAGTAGCGAGTAAATGCAGTGCCAAAGAGGAAGAGATCGAGTTCCCATTTCAGGTCTGTCAATTGTAGAACCATAAACTTCTTGTCAGACGAGCTAGATGAGTCTGAGTCGCGGATCTTTGGGCCGGAAGTGATATCGCGAGGAGATGACTTTGAAGAGATGATGCCAAAAACGATGTAGTCCGCTTCGCAATCGGGTGGGTAATACTCTGGCGATTTGACCTCCTTGAATAGCCGAGGAATGGTGTAGATTTCCTTTCCCTCAAAAGCAGATTCAAGATCGTCTTGCGGTATATTTCGATTGGAGAGATGCAGATCAGAGAAGGGCTCGTGAGTTTCTGCGTCATCAGGTCGCCGCATATTTGCTTTGCTTTTTGTCTGTGCTTGTCGAAGCGCTCGTGATGCTGACTTCTGTGCTCGAGAGGCAGAATCACTCGCCGTGGATAGTGACGGCGACATTACTGATTTGGGGCCAGAGGAGGACCCCACCTTTTTCCTTGCAGACTCAAGTAAAGACGGCTGGTTTACATTTGAGGCTAGTTGTGACCGTGGCAGTGAAGTTGGCATCCCTGATGCCCCAGACTCACTTCGCGCTCGCAGCCCAAACCCTTGACTTCTAGCATTCTGGATGCGCTCCGCCTTCTGTTGACGTTCAATTTCTGAAGCTCTGCTCTCTGCCAGACGCTCCGTGAAGCTCTTGATCCGTGGCGGTGTCTTTTGGAAATCGGGCCTGTTGGCAGACCCGGTTGCTGGTCGTGCCCTTTTCAGAGATACATCTTGTGCTCTGAGGCCTTTGTCTATGCCCAATATGACCCTCGCAGGAGACGTGGTCATTACCGGTTCCCTCTGGATTCTGGTAGGCGACACTGGTACTTGGACATCATCGTTCAGGCGAGGCCTTTTTCGCGGAGATGTGTAACTTGTGGTGGTGACATGCTCTGCTTTTGGCGGTAGAATAGGCTCTGATTGCTTTGCCTTCGCTTGTTGTAACTTCTTCAACTTGAGTTTGGCCTCAATTGCCTGCAGCTTGAGCTGCAGCGTCTCTTCGTCCTCGTCCTCTTCGCCGCCATATTCACCACCGGACTCGAAAGGATCCTCTAACCTCTTGACCGTTGCATGCGGGCTTCTGTTCGGAGCCCTCTGGGGGGTCGGGGATGGTGTTCGTTCCCGTAGTTGGTCACGCCTTTCCTGCCACTTCTTCCTACCACTTGGCGAGCTGAGTAGAGCCTCGTAAGGTGATTTAGGGGGCCAATTGGAGGGATTCTTGTCAGGCGATCCTACTGTTGTGTGAGCGGACGAATCTCAAGCGACGGTGAACGGACATACGCTTAGCTTTTGGCGACTCCCGAACAATCATTTCTCGGGACCTAGCCGTCCGACTCAAAAACCAAGGATCTATATAGGGATTCCTGAGGACGAGGGAGCAATTTTCCTTTGGTACATCCGCATTGCCTGGTTTCTCCCGCAGAAGCCAATCAATAACAAGGCAGCCCAGTAGGCTGGGACAGATGCGGTCAATTAACGGCGATTCGGCCCGCCAGCCGACGCGTTTCGCGTTCGCGCGTCCACTTTAGCTGTTGATTCTAGGAACCATCTAAGCAGTACATAGCACTTCGATTGCGAAACTGGCACGGGCTGAATTAATATCGGCATGAGGAAGACAAGGAACTCAAAGCCTGCACCAGGCTCTCAGCAGGCAGAAGCGTCGCTTGTAGGCCCGTCTCTTCCTCCGAGTAGTACAAACCCACCCACGCTTTTCGTATTGCCGCGGGATCGTTCTTCGGAAGCACGCATTCTCTCTCTACCTGATCCTTCTTCAGGGCGGACAACCCGGTACTTCTTCGATCCAATCTCTGGACTGCACGAGTTCACGAACGTATCAAGCCAAAAAAGCACTCCAAGCAGCTGGCTCCTTGCTGCGGATCCTGAATCTCAGCATGCAAGCAACGACAATGGCTCACAGTCACAAAGCGGCTATGCCATTGAGCAGCCTAACATGCTTGTTGCAACACCAATAGACCTGATTTTCATGATACTGCCCACTCTCCTTGCGGACTCGGAGTCTTCCGAGCGCCAGCTTTTCCTGACCATTGATGATTATTTGGAAAAGATCTCCGTACATAACAAAGATCTGGCCGACATCCTGGGCAGTGCGCAGATGCTTCCGCGCTTAGAGAGACGCATGAAGTCTGTTTGCGACATCGTGGAGGCGGGGGAAGACAATATGTATCGTGCCAACACTAACAAGCTCGCACGAGAGTTTCTGCGCAAAGCAGAACGTATGGCTGCTGGCGGTCTACCTGCGTCTATGGAGAAAGCTCTAGTCGAAGAAGCGCTTCAGGCACCGGCGACTGTACTCGAGCTGCCATGTGCAACAGATGTTGGGGCTTCACAGCAAACCGACGCAACAACTCTTACCCAGACGTCTTCTTTCTCTTCCACTGTTTCCCTGGATCCCGACTCACAGGCATCAGAACTGTCGACCAGTAGCATAGCAACAGCAGCAACCTCTGTCAGTGGTGACGATCGACCGGAGCCTGACGGAGCGCTATCTGCTACGATCCAGATCAAAAGGCTGCTCCGTCTACGGACCGCTTGTGATTTCCTACTCGCAGCCTACGTGCGACCATCTTTTCGTGTTACGTTGAGGTCAGCTATCACAGAAGCAAAGTCTGTTGTTGACTTTTCGCCACTGGAAGAGCATCTCAAGCGTCTGGAAGGCCTCAAGAAGGAAGCGCAGGCATTGCGCTCATTATCAGACAACATCAGTCGAAAACGAAGGTCGGGCGATGACGACGAGGCAGAGGCAATACGAGCTGAAAAGCGTCGTAAGAAGGAAGAGGAAGACGCCAAGAAGAAGGCGCAGAGCCGGGCCATCAAGCAACTTTTCAAGACCGACACCAGCGGTATGAAGAAGCTGAGTAGTTTTTTCACCAAAGCTCCAGCCAAGAAATCCTCGACTTGAGATAGGTGTTCAGCGCTTTCCGAGGTCGATGTCAAGCACTTTGAGCAGATCTGACCCTGCTGGGTCTCCTTGCTCTTCAGACAGGTCGAAAAACGGTCTGATCGCCACGCTCACAACTCCGTCGAACAAGTCGGCTATGAGCACACTGAGATCTTTTCCTGTCTGCGCGAAATCTGGAAAAGCATTCACCTCCAGAAGCCAGGTGTTGCCAGTCGCATCGACGATGAAGTCGAGGCCATAGACTTCGAAAGAATTTGGCAGTGGCTGGAAATGCATCATCATGCCCCTGGCAGCAGCTTCGAACACTTCGCCGGTCGCCTCGGAGATCTGCTGGAACACGCGCTCTTTCCAGCCCGGCTCTAGGTCCGCCGCGGACTCTTCAAGCGACCAGAACTCATGAACACTACCTTCGCGCTCTCCAGTCTGGCGGCATGTATTTGTCAAGTGTCCGCCCAGACTTTCATTGGGATCTCCTGCTTCCGACGGCGATTCGTATGTCGCTCCAGCAAAGAGCGCCAGCATCCGTCTATACACATAGACCTTGAGCGCACCCACTGCCAGAACGTAAGTTCGTATGTGGAACTTGCGTCCTGCGGACTCGAATGGCTCTTTAAGCAGCAGAGGAG